CAAAAAATGTATTTTTAATATGAATCATCCACAACACATATTCAACATGAGGCTGACATATTTTGCAGCTTCCTAAAACTATGACCTAAAACAGCATTTTATAATTATTCTTCATCATATTAATTGACATACTACTTTTTTGCACTTATTAAAATTCATTTGTCACTGAAGGAGCATTTAAAGGGTGATTAGAAACTTTCCAGTGACCTAAAACACGCTTTTCCTTACACGTGCATGAACATTTTAACTTCGAATCTAGGTTTTGGTTAAAAAACAGACTCATTTTGCATTAACTACCCATGCATGTATTAAATATGAGCTGAAATGGGACTCATTTTTACATTTTAATTTTACATTCAAGACAAAAATGTCTTCTAATTATGAATCATCCACAATAAATATTGAGCATGAAGTAAGGCTGGCCTTAGTAAAACTGGTTTTGACTGGTGTAATTATCAATATGAGATGGTAAACAACTCAAGTTGCATGATTCTCCTTTCTTCAAGAATCCTAACACACTCACACAGTACTCAAGGAAGAGCAGATGAGATGAAGGTCCCTCATAAGCACAGATGTGTTGGAGTCTGTTTATCTCCACGCTGACCTTGACGGTGGAATAAAACACTGAAGGCACCAGTTCTCTCTCTTATCACTCCGGCGGGCATGAGATACTTTAAACACGATCGCTGTTTCTCCACACGATTCACAGAAACGCTCAGGAATGCACAGCCGCAGACGACTCTTAAACACAAAGACGTGAGCCACAACAACGACTGAATCACGTACCACTTACACTGAGCCGTTTAGAAACAGAACTCTGAAAAAATTCCCTGGAGAAACATCTAAAGCACGTCTGAAGAGAAGCAGGTGAAAATGCATGTACAAAAACAAAGCAGAACAAAAAAAACTTCAATAACCTGACCTTTCTGAGTGGAACTGTAGGTTTGATTGATGCGGGATTGATTGGATAATGAATTAGTTGATCTAAAATATAAGAAGGACGAATGACATCTGCTGAAATTGACTGTTTTTATACTTTAATAAAAGATTACAAACAAAAAGTCTTCTTAATATGAACTGTCCAGAATGAAAATGTTGACTGCAATAACTTTCCTAGTCCACTTGTCAAATAAACCTGGTATTACTAATATCGTTGGCTCTACATCAGATTGCTTTTGGTCATTTTTGTATAAAAGCGACTGCTAAAATGCAATATAAATGTAAGAAAGTCACAATCAATACAGACAAATGCACAACAGCCCAACACACATGAAGCTTTCTGAACACTTCATCACTAACATCACGCCGAACGGCAGCTGAAACAGTAAATCCATGTGAACGTGCACCAGCTGCGGGATATTTCTGACCCTCAATGTGACACACAGGGGTTTCAATTATTTTAGGTGAGGGTGAGCGCATGTGAGGGTTTTTGTTCATCTGTATTTGTCTCTGTGTGTGTCTGTGTGTGTGTGAGTGTGAGTGTGTGTGTGTGTGTGTGTGAGAGTGTGTGTGTGTGTGTGAGAGAGTGTGTGTGTGTGTGAGAGTGTGAGTGTGTGTGTGTGTGTGTGAGTGTGTGTGTGTGTGTGGGAGTGTGTGTGTGTGTG